CATAATCTACAAAAAGCACTATTTCTTATAAGAAGTCAGTTTCACATGCTAATCTAGCAGGCGTTAAGATTGTGATCTCTATAAAAGGTATCATGATGTGATAATCATCCAGTTGGTGCTACGATGATTATCAGAAGAAGTTGATAAGGTATAGAAGGTATCTTGTTTCGAGCAAGATAGTTTAGTGATCCTCTCCCCATAGTACCTGATGTTTCTTCTTGTTATTGAGTTCTATTCACCAAAATAGATACTATCTCCTGTTTTCTCTTTATTTCCCCTTAACAATATCTGGTTAAAAAATAGAACTATAAAAGACTTTTTCAATAACACTAACAATACAGTATTGTGTTAGTTCCTAATTACTTTGCTATAGAAAATTCTATAGAATAAATTAGATAGTATAAGTTATTATTTGGGAAACTCGATGGATATCTGGATACAGTAAAACTAATAATGTTAAAACAAATTATAGCAATATAATACATGTATAAACCAAATCTTACTAATAAAGTACACCAGGCGAGGCCGCGCTAGTTGATAAAAAAATAAAAATAAAAATAAGAACTTTATATTCAAACTTAATCAAACTATTATTATTAATTCTGAGTAGGTAATTATAACTGCTCAATATCATTTTTGACATATATAAGTTTTAATATTTATTTTCTTATATTACTTTGAAGGAATATATAGGCTAGCTAGCATTAAACTTATTGATCCAGTTATTATATAAGAAATATTGTTACTTTTTTTATATATAAAATCTTCATATTTTTTATAATGTTGAAAATTTATTAAAATTAAGTTTTTAAATATAATTTATTGTTTTTTTATTTATTTTTTCTAATAAAGAGTACTAGTATTACATGATATTTTATTGAGTTATTTATAGAGCTTCAAAAAAGTATCAAACCAGTATTGAAGTGGTATTGAAATAGTATCAATCTATAATAAATTTAATATATGAATTATGATCCATTTATATGAATTTATAATAAATTTAAGTATTAAACTGATATTAAACAGATATCAAAATAATATCATTAGAAGTAAGGATTCTAATGATTCTATGTTTGATTCTATTCGATTTCAACTCTTATAGTAAATTTAATAGGTAGGTTATAACCCACTTATATTTTTTATATGTATACAAGTTTATATAAATCTATACAATTTCAATTTTTGGAACCATAGTTAGGAGCCTTAATTAAAAGTAGTAAAAATAAGTTTTAAAATAAAAATAATAGAATAAAATAAAATAAATAATATTAATAAAATAAAAATAATATTAATAAAAAAAAATAAAAAAAATAAATAAGTATTTTAATTATATATAAATTTGTTTTTAAAAAAATTATTTTTTTTTACATTAAAAAAAAAAATATAAATTAATTTTTTGATATATATAATATATATAGAAATTATGTGTTAATTAATGTATTGATAAATTAATTGATATTTTTAATTTTAATAAATGGATAATCAAATATAGTAACAAATAATAAACTATAAAATATTTGAAATTAATATATTGTTATAATTATTAAAATATTAAAATATTTAATTATAAAAATATTATATAACTATTAAAATGTTTGTTTATTAAAACTTAACAATATATTTTTTAATTATATTAATTATAAATTATTTTATTTTATTTTTAAAATATTTTCTATTATTAATTTAACAAGTTCAAATTTTTTTCAAATTTTTTATTTGATTTAATTTGATTAATAATCTTATATTTATATAGCTTTCTTTTTTTAACATTAGTAAATATATTTAATTTTTTTTTATTTAACTTTTTTTTTATTAGATAATTTTTTAATATTTATAATTATTATAGTTTGTTTTCAAAAAAATTTTTATTTAAAACAAATTAGCTCAAAACCCAATTTCAATTCTCATAATACAGACAAATCAGTATCTTTATAAGAAAACAATTTCACAGTAAACATTTCAATTCTTGTTATCAAAATATTTATTTAAAGCAAATTGAATTATTTTTCTTATATTTCTAATTTTATTTTTAAATATTATAATTTAATCCTTTTTAACTTTGGATAGGTATTCATAGCTACTTGGTATTATTTAACAGCTATACTAGTTTTAAAATTTTTTTTCTAATATAAGTTAGATGATTTTTGTAAATAAGCTAATATTTAACTCATTATAAAATCATATAAGAGATATTGTTTCTTTTTAAAATATATATTATATTTTATATAAATAAATAAAGAAATGATATTTTCTTACTCAAAAAAAAAAAAATTTATTTATTTATTTTTATAATTCTAAATTTATATAAGTTAATTTTTTATACTGTATATATAATATTATAATTAAGTATATCAAAATTTATTTTTTATTTTATTTTTTTTTTTATAGATGAATATGCAATAATATAAATCTTTATTGATACTTGCGTAAATTGAATTATATCAAGTATCCTTTTACAATTGAAAATTGTACTATTGTATTGATTATATAGTCTACAATTATAAACCAACACTGCCTAATACTATAATATATTAGCTTACCATCCATCTTTTTTGGACCCAACATGCTAACTGTATATCAAAGATGCAGTATTTTATATATCAGTTGGGGTTTCTATAGGGGGGAATGCCTATCACTAGTTTAAACCACCTAACCTATAACCTGGTTTCTAAGAGCTGTATCTATCCCTCAGTGGTTTGATCATCAGATTTCTGGACACCATGATACTTTTTATTTGGACCCTCAGAGGGGATACTTGTTTCTTGTCATTACCTGCGGCTTTGGTAGATCCTTTTCGATGGGACCACTTCTTTTAAGCAAGTGCCGGATTGGAATAGTTTCAAACTAGGAAATCTTGGAGTGGGTCGAATTCGGCCTATTGGGTACGACATATATAGGGGGCCTGCACAACCTATGTATGAAGGAACTTCTCAACGATCATTATGCACCAACCAGATGATTATTACGCCGCGACACCTTAACGGGAAATCACAATCTCAATACCTTACCAGATCGGTATGTGAATGGCTTCATATGAGAAACAGCACATGATTGGTTATAGTGCCAGATATTATATTAGTTCTATTCAATCACCTTTACCTGGGATTGAACTGGTATCTTGCGATCTGACCTGTGGAATACTAACCACTATACTATAGACCCACAGATTAAGTATATCAAAATTTATTTATAGTAAAAAAAATTTTTTTTATTAAACAATATATTCAATATAATTAGCAAGTAATTAGTAATATATTGTAAAATATATAATATATAAGTACAAATAATAATAAATTTTATCAGATAATCTATTAATTAAAATAGTAATAATATTTTCAAATTTCATATGAGATTAAATTATCAAGTATAATATATACTTTCATAACAAAATTATGATCTAATGATTAATTTTAAGTATGATTAGTGGAAAAAAAAAAGTTAAAAGATTTTTATATAATTATTAAACAATAAACTATAAAATTTTATATTATTAGAGTAAACAAGACTTATAGTTTTTAAAAATAGTAAAATTTTCTTTATTTATATTTGTAACCTTTTTATAATGGAATTAAAACATAGAAAACTATTTAAAGACAAATAAAATCAGATAATTGATACTTGGAAATATGGTATAAGTGTTATTGCTATTTTTAAAAATTCAGAGTTTGTATTTAAAACAATCAAATAAATAATAAAATATTATAAAGATTTTGAAAAGTTAAAACTATTACTTTGAATTGAAAAAATTTTACTATTGAATAATTACAATATACAATATTTATTATATATTTTAAAAAAGGATTATAAGATTACATTAAAATATTTTACTAGATAAATTTACACAATATATATCTATTAAAGTTTTTATCTATACTCTTTAACAATATCTTTATAAAGAGGATAATTATGCTTGAGTTGGAAAAAAAAAACTATTTATTAGTAATCAAAATCAAATAATTCATTTTAATTGAACAACAGAATATTTATAGTAGACTTCTAAATATAATTATATTATTTGAAGTGATAAGTTTCATTTTGAAATATATAAAAGTGATGGCTATAATTATGTTTAACAATTACCTAAAGAAAATATAATGTAAACTGTTTTATTCCAATATTTAAATCTGATAAAAAAAAATAATAGTATGGGATGTTTTACTACAGGTGGCTTAGGTCTGTTAGTATGAATTGATGGATAACAAAAAAGCAATTGACTATATTAATGTTCTTAGTAATAACTTGTTATCATATTTAAAGAATCTTAGTATTCAAAATAATTATTTATTTCAATATAATAATTATTCAATTTATAGAGCAAAAAGTGTAAAAGAATGGATTATTAAAAAAAATATTTCTTGTCTTTCATGACCTGCCCAGAATCCTGTTCTCAATTCTATTGAATGTCAGGTTCATAAACATAATTCTTTACCAACTAGTGAAACAGAGTTATTTGAATTTTACAAAAGGAGTGATTTAAAATAGATGATTCAATTTATTGTAATCTTGTATTAAGTATGCCTTGTCATATTGAGGCTGTTAGAAATTCTAAAGATAATCCTACAAAGTAGAAAAAAAAATCATATATTCAAAAAAAAAATATACTTAGTTAAATTCTTTAAATTCGTAAAAAAAAAATTTCCTGTTTAACCGTCGATTATCAAATTTGATCATCAGGCCATATAGCATTAAAGAAAGGTTGGCCGACTTACAGCTTATCGAGACTTTACTTATGTTGTCCCAACTTATCGAGGTTTTTTAAATACCGGGCCAAAACCGACTTATCGAGTTTCCCTGTGTATCCCGAATTATTTCTATTATAGCATTTATCAGTGTAATGCATTATTTCTATGTGTAATTGGAAAGACAAAATCTAAAAAAAAAAACAAAAAAAACATTGATTGATAATTATTCGTAAAACATCTGTTATGTTATTAGGTCATGCCTTTTTATACCTTTTTTATTTACAATATTTTTAACAAATCTAAAAATTTTTGACTAATCACATGCTTTTTTTCTAACTTATCAGTATCGTTGTTGTTATAGGTGTTACCAACGACCATCTCTTTGGCTTTATTAAGTAATCTAGAACTTACTAAACTACGAGTATCCAAATTTATTTGCCTCACGGTAATTTTATCAGCTCCTTCCAAACATCTAATTATGACTTGTAAATGTTGGTTTCCGAAATCACGAGAATCAGCGATCTCCAA